GCTGATAGTGCCAGGCCAGCTGGATGGAGGCCGAAGGCTGCCTTTCTCTTTCTCATAGCTGTGACCTTAAGCAAGTGATTTAACTTCTCCGTGGGTTGGTTTTCTTATGTCTAAAACGAGAATGCAAGAGCACTTATCTCTCCATGTTTTAAGGCTGTTATGAGTGTTAAGGGAGTTAATCCATTTAAAGAAATTCGGATAATGCCTGGCATATATGTATTTTTTTCACACTAGCATCTCTGAAATGAAGATGTCGTCCAAATAATGGCTTCTTAAAATTGATGCAATGTAGTAGTATTATTTTCCCAAGGCTCTGGTTTGGGGGACAATTCCTCTTCCCTGCCAACCGCTCAATCCATTCTTGGGTGACTGGCTTCACTTTTCAACCTCTGTAACTTTCCCCGCTTCTCCGAAGGCGCCCTCTGTGGCTCCCTGCCGGCCCGGTCAATTCAGCTGCGCGGCTTCCGCAGGTAATACGGGCGGCGGCAGCACTCGGGAGCTTACGGCGGCGCGGCACCCACGCGGCGCCGGGAGCCGAAACGAAACCCGCGCGTCCCCGCCCGCCCGGCCGTCAGCTGATGGGCCGCTCGCCCCGGAGGCCGCCGCCGCTGCCGCCGCGCGAACATGGCGGCCGAGATCCACTCCAGGCCGCAGAGCAGCCGTCCGGCGCTCCTGAGCAAGATCGAGGGGCACCAGGACGCCGTCACGGCCGCACTGCTCATCCCCAAGGAGGACGGCGTCATCACCGCCAGCGAGGACAGGTCGGGCCAGCGGGCTGCGCGCCGGGCTGAGGCGCGGTGGGGGCGGGCTGCGGGGGCGCAGGGGCCGCGGCCGCGCCCCTCTCCGCGTGGGGGCGTCCCCGGCCCCCGAGGCGTGCGGCCCGTCGTCCCCGCCGCGCCCCCCTGTTTGCGGGGACCGCTCGCTTTCCACTCGTGAGTCCCCCAGTCTCGATCCCCGCTGCTCCCCTTCCGCCCGGGACCCTGGTCCCTGCCACGCCCCTCCAGTCCGGGATCCATGGCCTCGGCGCCCCCCCCCCAACCCCCATATCTGGGGGACCCCGGTCCCTCGTCCAACTGCGTCCTTCCAGCCAGAGACCCTCGTCCTAACGCGCCCCTCCAGCCGGATTTTCGCGTCCCCACCGCTGGCTCCCTTCCAGTCTCGGACCCCCACTGCGCCCCTCTAGTTCGGACTGCGCCCACTCCTGCAGCCCGGGACCCCCGACCCCGCCTCTCCTTTGTAGGATGTCGCCCAGAGCTGGAAGCGTCCGGACCTCTGGGGCTTTGTTGGCCCTCGCTAGCCAGTTCCGAGCCTCCTCCTCTGGGAGCCAGGAGGACGGGCGGCGGGTTCCCGCAGGTCCTGGGGCCTGGATTCCCTTCGAGCCCCCAGCCCCCAGTGCTTCCCCGCGCTTCCTCCTCCTGCACCCTGGACTCGACATCTCTCTCGTGCGCAACACCGAGGTCCCTAGATCATTTGTGTTTTGTACAGCTAGAACCACCTGAACCCTTACTAAGTTTTGTGTTTGTTTGTTTGTTTTCCCCCTAAATGCGACTCATTTTTAAAAAAAGATTCAGATGCTTTTATTTTAGAGGAAATTTTATATTTCCACCACTCATGGAAAAGTAGTGTCACTTGCCATAAAGAATTAAACTAATAGCTAAAACATGTTAATGTGTGTGCACGCGCGCCTGAAGCCATGTCTTTCCTGTGCTAAGACGTCTCTCATTGAATGCCCACCGTACTTGGGGAAACACTGATCCGAATCGATTTCCTCATTTTACCCAAGAAGAAACTGAGGCCTATGGAGAGTCCCAGAGAAACTGGTGAAGCCAGAAGCGCAACCCAGGACTCCCCCACGCCCGCAATCTGGTCTTTCCAGGGCTGTGTGATTGCTTGGAGAGATGCCTGTTTAAAACTTGAGCGTTTTTAAAGTCCTAAACGTTTGAAGGGTTAGTACTTTATACTGTGGGGATTGGGAGGATAAGACTGATGTTAATTGAGTGAAGCCTGTTTCCTCCATACAATGAGTGGTCTTAGATGGTGATATATCAGAAGTTGGAAGGCTTTCTGGAAGATGGACTGTACTGCGGTTCTCTTAAAGCTGAAGGCATAGTGTCCAGCCTTCTCGTAATTATCTTTGGAAATTAACTTTGAGAGCCTGTCCTGAATGGGAAGAGAAAACCCGAAGCCCGCAGTGCCTATTTGACCTTTGTGTTTTTGCTTTTGAGTGAGTTTATTGTGAGCAGGCGGTGGCCTCTCCCTGCCAGTTTACAAGTTGCTGACCTCAAACAAGGTGGGGAGTGATTGGTAGGACCTGGGTGTGGGTGTGTGTAAGCAGGAAGGGAGTGGGAGAGAGGGATATGCGAGCCATAGGGAGAAAAGGGGAATGTAAAAACCACAGGCAAAGGACAGAATAATGATATTTGCAGATAGGAGCCTAGATGTGGACAACGCTTTATAAAGTTAGCTGTCTTTAGTCAGTAAAATATTTTATTCGTGACTCATGCATGTTTGGTAAATTGCTGAATATTTGAGATTACTGGCCAGGAGCAGTGCTGATAAATGTTTTATGGAAAGTGATTACTTAGCTGCTCTGGGACCGAAATATTCTGGGGGAGCCTTAGATCAGCTCTTTTTTTCACTCGGGCACAGCAGGGCCTTGGCAGATGACTGGACCAGGTGAGGGTTGGCGCCTTGGGTTTCTAATTTGTGTTTCAGGCCCATGGAACTTCCCTGCAGGTAGGACGACTTTTTAAGCAGGTGCCACACTTTATGAGATTTAATGAAAACACATGGCTATGGGTTGTTTTGTTGTTGTTGGTCATGGTGGTTTGTTTTTACATTGTCATAAATATGTGCCCTACTCTTGAAGCATTCATTCATTCATTCACTCATTCACTCACTCATTCATGTATTTAGAAATATTGTACTTATTGAATACCAGGCCCTGGGGATACAACAGGGATCAAAAGCCCCAGTACCTGCCCTTCTATAACTTCTGATTCAAATTCATTTTTTGTGGCCCCTGATCTGATTGATGGAACCAGCATGTTGTGGAAACAGAACTGACCTCCCTATTCATCAAACAAGCATTTGTTAGACCCTGAGTGTGTGCGCCCGTGCTAGACCTGGGGGTAGAAAGACAGCTGACTCCACAATTGCTGTTGCCACAGGGCTGGACAGTGCGGTGAAGAGATGGCCCTGTGCTCTCAGCTTCCAGGGTGCCGGGAAGACACAGTGGCCTTGAGTGAGGGCCAGGGTTCACGGAAAGCCTCGTGGGGGAGATGTCACTGGGCAGAGGGGTGGTCTGTGTGAAGGAAGGAGGGTGTGCATCCACGTTCCAGGCAGAGCGACAGAACAGGAGGGAGAACGAGCCACAGTTACTTCTGGGTGACTGAAGCAAAGGTGTGCGGTTGGCCACGGCAGGAGACAGTCATGGGAGCTGGAAGGCCTTCCTGTGGGCCAGTCTTAGGAATTTGGACTTTATTTCCCAGGCAGGGAGGACCCATCAGAGTTCAAAGCAGGCCAATGACACGATCAGAATTTGTACTTTAGAACTAACAATATCTCGCTAACCTTTTAAAAGTCTGTTGTCTGTGTCAGTACAGAATTAGACCTTATGCATGTTGTTGCATCCAATCCTCAGATCTCCCCACAAGCTAGGCACAGTTACCTTCCCTTACCAACAATCCCAAAATTCAATCTATTCTACAAGTCAAAAGTGGTTTTTTATTGATGTTGTTGTTTTGTAAATTGGGCCTGAAAACTCATTGGTGCTAAAACTTGGTCAGAATAGGTAGAGATATTTGTAATCTTTACTTACCCCATGCAATGTGAATATTTTACTGTAGAAATAGCGATGCATTCAGCTGCAGGTACCATCCCAGGCCCCACTGGGAGTGTTATGGAACATTCAGCATAGTCTATTGCAGTGGGTGTTTGACAGTTTAGAAAACAGAGGCACAAAAGACATTGAAGTAACTGCCCGAGGCCACGTAGCTAGTAAGTAATAGGACTGAGATTTGAACCCAGGTCTGACGCTGAGGCTCTAGTTTTTTCTGCCATGCATCCATTTTTCCTACACATTTGGAGAAACTGAGTCCAGGTAGTGTCAAACAATGACTGACTATTCTGGCAGCAAGTATAAAAGGCTGGCATTCTTCCTTTGGCTCTGATTCAGTTATCCTTCCATTCTACTGGTTTTCAGGATTTAAAAAAAAAATCGGCTCATACCTTTTCTCTACAACTTCTGCTTTAATGCTCAGAAAAGTAACTTTTAACATTTAAAGTAGGGTCTAGCTGAAGTTAATTCATTTATAAAAGCTATAAGCAGTGAGAACTAGCTCAGAGCATTTTGAGAGAAAAAGTGAAAGAGGTGAGGGTCATCCTGAATTTAGTGTCCGTTTTTCTAAACTCTAGGCCAGTGAGTCTCAGTCAGGTGTGACTGCCGCCCAGGGGACATTTGGCAATATCTGGAGACATTTCGGTTGTCACGACTGGAGAAATGTATTGCTGGCCCCTAGTGGGCAGAGGCCAGGGGTGCTGCTCAGCATTTTATAATGAACGGGACAGTCCCTCATAAAAAGAGCTATCCAGCCCCAAACGTCAGCAGTGCCCAGGCCGAGAAACCCTGGCTTGGGCTTACTGTCCTTGTTTAACTCTAGAGCAGTGGTTCTCAATATTCCTAATGCCACGACCCCTTAATACAGTTCCTCATGTTGTGGTGACCCCCAACCATAAAATTATTTTCGTTGCTACTTTATAACTGTAATTTTGCTACTGTTATGAAT